GATGTTTTCTCTCCTTACTGATCATATAGTTTCATTTCACTGGTGAGTGCTGTAGAGGTGGTTGGGAGGGGGGGAGGAAAGGGGTTGGTGAGGAGGCAGCAATTCCTCATCACTGTCAGGCTTGTGCCAATGGGGTTTGTTTCCTTTGGCCTCTGTACTGATCAAATAAATTACAGAGCTTTTTAAGATCTGCCAGAAAGCCACCTAGCATTCTATAAGCTGCTGCTGCTATTTAACTGGGAGCTGAAGGGTAATTTCCAATCTCCGCTTCAGAGGAACTTTGTGACAATGAAAAGTCATCACAAGATCAGTGAACTGTTGGCTTAGTTCTTGTAACTGTTACCTGCAAATTATGCTTTTATTCTTCTTGAAGAAGATAATGGAGCTGGGAAGGATTTAAAAGACTTCAGTTTGTCGGGGGATGCTTGATGCTGGCTGCAGCTGAATTCATGTGAATTAGCTGACTTTGTAGGCGAGACCCCAGAGTGAGCATCTACCAGGAGACCCCAGAGTGAACATCTACCAGGAGACCCCAGAGTGAACATCTACCAGGAGACCCCAGAGTGACCATCTACCAGGAGACCCCAGAGGGAGCATCTACCAGGAGACACCAGAGTGAGCATCTACCAGGAGACCCCAGAGGGAGCATCTACCAGGAGACCCCAGAGTGAGCATCTACCAGGAGACCCCAGAGTGAGCATGTACCAGGAGACCCCAGAGGGAGCATCTACCAGGAGACCCCAGAGGGAGCATCTGCCAGGAGACCCCAGAGTGAGCATCTACCAGGAGACACCAGAGTGAACATCTACCAGGAGACCCCAGAGTGAGCATCTGCCAGGAGACACCAGAGTGAGCATCTACCAGGAGACACCAGAGTGAACATCTACCAGGAGAAACCAGAGTGAACATCTACCAGGAGAAACCAGAGTGAGCATCTACCAGGAGACACCAGAGTGAACATCTACCAAAAGACACCAGAGTGAACATCTACCAGGAGACACCAGAGTGAACATCTACCAGGAGACACCAGAGTGAACATCTGCCAGGGAACTGGGAATCTGCGGAGTTCTTTGGAGAGGTAAGACACAACTCTTGTTTATTAAAACCTAGTTATCAATGAAAAGAAATGGGTGACGGAGGCTTGCAACTTTTTAATTCAGCATAATTATATGTAAATTGCAGAAATCAATAGCAATAAATGAGATGTTAACTTTTTAGTGCTAGATCAGCTAAAGCATGTTATAAGTATAGCAAATCTGTAAGGAAGCTTTTTTTTATTTTATTCTGTTGTAAAGTTTGACAGCTCAATAAGATGCGTGTGTTGCGGCAATGCACATTTTATTACGCATTATTGCAGTACACAGTAACACATGCCAATTTGCGCGTTATTTATTACAGGTATTTATATAGCACCATAAAATTATGCAGCACCTCATATTGTACAGTCACATCAGTCCTGCCCTCAAGTAGCTTACAATCTAAGGTCCCTATCTCCCATGCAAACATACACAAGATGATTTAAACAGAAGCCAATTAAGCTTCCAGTATGTCTTTGGAGTGTGGGAGGAAGCCAGAGTACCCGAAGGAAACCCAGGCAAGCACAGGGAGAACCTGCAAAGCCCATGCAGATAGTGTCCTAGCTGGATTTCAAACCAGGGACCTTGTGCTAACCAAGGCACTGTACTGCATTTAGAATGTAAAGTGAGTCACAATAGGAGTAGCGGGCTATTCAGTTACCTTGCAGTGCACCACAGCACACATGTCGTGTGTTGCTGTAAAAAAAAAGGGTTATGTACATGTTTTAGTCCATTGCCCTGCATCAAAAGTCCATTCATGATGAATTAACATAAAGAACATTAACGCACAACAAAACGTACATGGGTTAATGCATTGCAACAGACTGCAAAAATCATTTTTTCCTTTTTCGATGGTGTTACGTGCATTTTGTTTATCAAGATTTCTGTAGGTACGCCCACAGAAAAAAAAAATGTTTTCCAGTCTCTTTCTGTATTTTATAAAGACAAATAATCATTTATTTATAGAACACACAGTACATCCCTTACCTTACATTTGATCTGGATATGAAAATGTAAACAAAATCAGCAATTGGACTGAAAAGTTTGTGGACAACATCAGATTAGTTGTTAGCACACGCTGTATATCCTCTTTCCGTCAACAAGCTGGAAGAGTATGCAGACACATCCATGCTACCGATCGAGGAGGCTGCAGCTATACAAGGAATTTGTAGTAGCTCAGGGGTGCTACTGAGATGGATGGAAAAATCACAAATAGCTGTGTAAACTGGACATCAGCATGTGGTAACAATTAATATCACACAGTCATACAAAATTCCAACTGTGTGCATCAGATTGCTACTAATGCTATTCAGGTAGTTTACCCAATAGAGAGTCATTGCTTTTATCAGTGTAGAAGTCAAGTGCTACTTGTACCATTAATTGATAGTGACTTTGTTAAAATCCCCCTGTGTGGCTATAGCATACAATCTCTATTAGTCATTATTGGCTCCCGATGTAAGCTAGTAATTGTGCCAAGAATGAGCAGACATAAGGGCTACCTGACTGTAATCTGCAATTAGTCATAGGGTTAATGCTGGAAGGTGTCCACAAAACTGCAACCAGACCATACAGAGGAGTCCGCCTTGTGTCAGTAACCTTGATGGTGCTGGTAGTCTGTTAAAATCAATTTAAAGTGACAATAAACTCAGGAGTTACATCTTAAAAATACATTTAAATAGGGATGCACCGATACCAAGTACCATACTCGGTACAAGTACAGATACTTTTCCAGCTCCAAGACTAGACTAGAGAAAAATTCAAAAGTTAGGAGGCAGCTGTCATTTGTAAGGAGCACACGGAGCTCCTGGGATTTGTACATCTCTGTTTTAATGTATGATTTTGTTTTTATAAATATAAATAAAGGGATGCACCAATACCATTTTTGCAAATACAAGCACTGATAAATTTTTTTTTATTGTCATGTGACAGTTTTTCTAAAACAATACAGACTAATGATTTCAGGACAGTGGTGGAGCGCCAGAGCCAGGCCCCAGCTGCAACCCTGGTAGTTCTCGTGAAAATGCCAAGTATCTGCACTGGTATCTGAACTGGTATCGGTGCATGCCTACATTTAAGTATCTTAACTATTAACAAACATGTATGTTATTTGTGTATCACTCGGCTGTAGATCCTCAAATCATCTCTGAATTGGTGCTGACGCTGTTCTTCCTTCTGGAGGGTAGCTACTTTTGTTCCCCATGGTCCCCATGTGTGTAGTAAAGTAGTCACCGCTCCAAGCTCACTCCCGTGATGGACTACAATCTCAATACAAATAACTAAACCTGAGATTGTAGTCCATCACGGGAGTGAGCTTGGAGTGGTGACTACTTTACAACACACACAGGGACCATGGGGAACAAAAGTAGCCACCCTCCAGAAGGAAGGACAGCGTCAGCACCAATTCAGAGATGATTTGAGGATCTACAGCCGAGTGATACACAAATAAGATACATTATTGATTAAAAGTTAAAGTACCTAAATGCATTTTTAAGATTTAACTCCTAAGTTTAGTGTCACTTTAATTTGTTGTTTGGGATACAGTAATTTTATGGTGGCTGCTAAGAGCTGTTGTAGAAACTATAGTATTTATTTAGTGCACATTGTGGTGCGCAGCAATCCACATCAACAGTTAGGCTTAAAGGAGGGAATATCACTTAGTTTATCATTTCTTGTGTTCAATAGTCCACTCAGAACTGCCATTTCAGTTTTTTGTAGATGCCTGAGAATTAAATAATCTGACAGTTTCCTATGTCTCTGAGGCAGATCTCTGCTGAGTTCTCCATTCTGCACACCTTCTATGACCAGTAGTTTTAGTTATCACTATTATTGAATACGACAGGAGGTGTTGGAACACGTAAAGTTGTGTAGGAACACTCAAAACTCTGAGGTGGACAGGAGCAGAGTAGTGAATTATGGCATTGAGATGTCACTCTTGGAGTTTCCAAAATATAAAAAGCCAGGGGCTGACTCATCTTATCAGGTTCCACCTCTTACTAAAATATCACTTTGTGGTGGACTGACCCTTTAAAGAGTAAATATCAGAAACAATTGCATTGTTCATGATATTTCTACCAAGACTGGTGAAGTCCAAAAAGAGTAGGAACAGAGAGCTAAAAGGTGACTACTGAGTGTTCCAACCACGGTGGGGGGGAGTGGAGAAGGGGGGGAGGGTGCCCACAGTTCACTATTTTGGAAGCTTTGTCTTAGTAGTTTCCAGCTTTGTTCATGCTCATCTCTGATCATACTCAGCATCTAACACTTGCTCTTCATGTGCAGATCTGGGAACTTGAGCTCAGAGATTTTACCATCTGAATTTCTGTGAACATAATAAAAAGGCCAGACGACTGACCTTTCTAACTACAATATCACTAACTAAATAGTTATTGGTCAATTAAATGCACGGCAGCAATATAAGGTTTACGGCTATTCACTTTTGGCTTCTACGGCTGATTTCAGTGCAAAGGAGTTCGACTCAGCCGATCCAACATCTGGATCAGCTGAGCCGAAGCTCCGGCAGCTCACTCGCTGCTATTCACCCCTATTCTCATAGGGGCTGAATGGCAGTGAGTGAATAGCTGAATGCGCCAAGCAGCATTCGGATCGGCTATTCTGCTCGGTACCTCCGAGGTACTGAGATAATTTCCTGGTCCCAGGTGGCTCAGGGCTTCGATCTGCCAGACTCTTAGTACATTGTGCCTGCGGTCCGATCCTGTGCGGTGCGATCAAAATGCTACAAGCATTGTGTGAGTTATACCACATTGTGTGTACTATTACTGCAAATGTTCTAATACATGTAATTTCTATAATTCTGACACTAATCCATGGCTACTTTTTTTCCCTACAGACGGACGCTTGATACATCAGAGAAAGGTTGCTGGCTTTCCAGGCATTGCTTCTGTATGGGGGGACAATAGTAAAAGGGACCATCTTTCCAAGATAGCTTCACAAAGGATGATCTTTAACCTCAAAGCAGCTCTAGCCCTGTGAACATGGAAAACCATACCTCCACTGCATTCAATGACACAGCCCTCCAGGACAGAGAATGGATCACTCTGGAGTATCAAGTTGTCACTATATTCCTGGTGGTTGTGATCTGTGGACTTGGTATAATTGGAAACATTATGGTGGTTCTGGTAGTTCTAAGGACTAAACACATGAGAACCCCAACTAACTGTTATCTTGTTAGCCTTGCTATAGCTGACCTCATGGTCTTGGTGGCAGCAGGTCTTCCTAACATCACTGACAGTATCTATAGCTCGTGGGTGTATGGATACATGGGATGCCTGTGCATCACTTACCTTCAGTATTTGGGAATCAATGCTTCATCATGTTCCATAACTGCATTTACAATTGAGAGATACTTGGCAATTTGCCACCCAATCAAAGCCCAGTTCCTGTGCACTATCTCCAGAGCAAAGAAAATCATTGTGTTCGTCTGGGTTTTTACATCCCTCTACTGCATGATGTGGTTTTTCTTACTTGATCTCAACACCACAGTCTACAGAGATGGCCCCGTTGTCTACTGTGGCTATAAGGTTGAACGGAGTTACTACTCTCCAATCTACCTAATAGACTTTGCTATATTCTATGCTGTGCCAATGACATTAGCAACTGTCCTGTATGGACTTATTGCGAGAATTCTGTTTCTAAATCCTATACCGTCAGACCCTAAAGACAACTTGAAAACTGGGAGAAGTGATTCAACTCATCAGAACAAAACATACAACTCCAAAATGTCCACTAGATGTTCTAATAATACCATATCCTCCAGAAGACAGGTAAATTGTTCTTATGTATTCTAATGTTGGTTACACACTATCGGCCTCTTATATAAAACAATGAGCATTTGTAACCTGTATTCCTTAAAGTGGACCTTTTAGTAACTTTACAATTCTGCATGAATAAATCAATGATATGTCATATGTCATAATATACAGGAACAGTATCAGTTTTCATAAAGCCTTACCTTCTATCTTTAAAAACAGTCCTTGAAGTTGAGATCCAGTCATTGATTTCACCTAAGCTCCATTGTTGCCCTCAGTCTGCTGCAAACTGGAGGAAGCATTTTCCCAGTCCACTGTTCCCCAGTGTTCAGACTACAACACTGTCAGACATCCCAACCTGCAAAACCTTATTTCAGGGAGGTGCCCTTCTCATTTCAGGGAGGTACCTGTTTTTTTTATTTTGACAGCGGCTGTCGGCCACCGTCACAATAAAAAAAACTAAATGGCAGGGGAATGAATAGCTAGGCTGCTATTGGTCATTTTAAATTGCAATAGCCAATAGCAGGCTCGCTCTAACAGTATATGACAAGACATATGGTTACAAGCACCTTGTTTGTGCATTGTGTAAAGGCGGCTGTGCTCTTTGTGTGAGATGAATTGCAGCGCAGGGAGCTCCCCTCCACAGCTCAGCAAGCAGCCAACATTTGGAAGTGTGCCACTCACCCTCCATAGGCGTCTTCTATCGGCTCCCCCCCCCGGCACTGTCATTCACATCACAAGGTGTCTGCAGAGCTAGCTCAGGAACCTTTGTCTCCAGCCAATCAAGGGCCACCCTGCCGTGCCTAAACCCCTCCCACTGACCAGCCACCGTTACAGGATCTGCAGGCACGAACTTTTTTCCCCCTTACAACTAAAAACTTTATTTATACTCAGCAGGACTAGTGAGCGCAGCAGACACGGAAAGGTTTCAATCCTTTCCAGGATAAAATGTCTCTCTTGCGGGCGTCCGGTAATCTAATAGCGGGAGACTCCCGGAACGTCCGGGAGACTTGGGATGTCTGCACTGTAACTTGTAGCAAAGCGAGAGGCTGCATTCAAAAATGTGTGAACATACCCAGAACGTGCACCAGCATTTAAATGTCTGTGTCATTTCCGAGACAGCATCTGAGTCCAGAAAGTAGATGCTGACTCTGGATGATGTCTGAACAAAGATGGCAGTCTCCTAGAGAAGAAGTCTCCTAGAGAAGGAGAGAAGAACAGTGTCTCAGTGGCTAGGACTTCTTTCTTGCAGCACTGGGGGTCCCCAGTTCCAATTCCACTAGTGCATTGAGTTTGCATGTTCTCCCTGTGCCTGCATGCTTTTCCTCCCACACTCCAAAAACTGGTAGGTTTATTGGGTCCCGTCTACACTGTCCAAATTGGCCATAGTATGTATGCATGTGACCTTAGATTGTAAGCTGCTTGAGGACAGGGACTGGTGTGAATGTACAGTATTTTATGTAAAGGTATATAAATATGTTAATTAGCATATGTCTGCTTAACATGACAATATATCTAATGCTGGGTCCACTTTAAGAATTAGCAGTCTTTATATTGAATAAGATTGTTTAACACACAGGAAGGCCAGGCAAGGAGCCTGATGATGATAAAACACAGTAAACCAAAAATAGGAAATTATTTTATAGATCTCTTTTCTGAGATGCAGTACAGTAGAGCATCATGACCTTCCAACAGTACCATCAGGAAGGCTGATATAAAAGAATAAAAAAAGAACAGAATTTATTTATATACAATTATATCCTAGAGTGTGGCTGCATAACAGTGCAACAGCCTTAATATATTTGACCAGCTACATTAGCCAAGGTTGAAGAACAGAAATGGAAATAATTATTTTATCATCCTTTGGAGTCTACTGCATGTGATGTGACTGTTCACAGATACAACTAGCTCTGAGCTAAGAAGCATTTAGGTATCTCTGAAATCAGAGGCAAGCATCAGTAGATACCATTGAAATTCCAGACAGCTGAATTTATGATGACAGCGAGCAACAAAAATGATCTTATCATTATCTTGAATCCAGGCACTAGAGTAAAGTGAGGAAAAGCACTGGTGTGCCCAGTTTAAACTTTTCGCCTGCACTTGTTGCCAAAAGTTTCCATCGCACAGTCTCCAATACTATAAGTAGTTCTACAGACAGACAGAACACCCTTAGAGGCAGGGCCAATAACATTGATGCTATAGACCTGCAGACAATATGGGCCAACCATCTATTTGACTATCATTATCATGTCTTATGAACATGTTCCTATCTATAGCAGCTCTGTAACAGTCAGATAAAAGATAACTAGCATTACAGTCAAGTGTAATATGCCCACCAATACAGTGTAGCGCTCACCCCCGAAGGAGCCGCTGAGTGCTCGGGTCTTCCATAGCCTGTCTAGGGATTTTTAAAACATATGACTGCCCCTATAGAACTTACCACCTCCAGTGGTTACCTACAGATTGAAGTCCAGACAATAGCTTCATGATGATTATCTTTTATTTCTGAACTCCAGGGAGAGAGGGAAGAGGGTCAGGCACATCCAGCATGAGGTAGCTTCTTTGTACTTGAAATAGAGCATAGTAACTGCTGCCACCACAGACTTGGACCTTTAAGCCGGCAATCTGTGTGGAGAACTTCTGGCGAGCAGTACTGTCAAGGTTCTTGTTCAGGTTCAACTGCAACAAGAGTGGCTGACCACTGGGCCGCCAGGCTCAGGCCCCAGTGTCCAGGCCTAGGCCCCAGGCTTAGGCCTAGACCATTCTGTTTCTTCAGCAGCAGACATCCTGCCCCCAGGAGGGCCCTGGGGGAGGGAAGAGAGCGTTGCATAAGCCACACTCAGCATTTATCTCCACAAAGCAATCCTCATTGGCTGCTCTGCTCTGTGTGGTACCACACCCATCAACAGGCAGACACAGCTTCACAGATTGCTCTGTAACAGTTGAACTGAACATAGACTACAGATATATTTTAGCACTCCTTTTAGCAGGGTACTACAACAGCTTTCACATTTTTATGGGTGTAGCCAGTCCACTATCACAAAAACCAAACAAGAGAGTTTACATTTTAAGATATAACAAATGAACACCACAAAGGTTAAAAAATAATCAAAGCTTGATATCTTGCTACTCTTACCATCAAGGTAAAGCCCTCTGGCATATTTCCGGACATAGACCTACTCAGCAGAGTCCTGCTTTACCCCATAAAGTGCATGCAAAGTCTTAAAATTAAAGCTGAACTCCAGGTATAAAGTACTACTAAGCATATTTACTAGGGATGCACCGATACCACTTTTTTAAGACCGAGTACCAGTACTGATACTTTTTTTCAAGTACTCACCGATACCAATTACCGATACTTTTTCTTAAAGGGACAAGTCACATTTTTTCTAAAGCAATACAAAATCATGAAATGAACATGAAATTAATATTTATCATGCCATTGCTAACTAAGGCTTGTATCCCCATAGTGGAGAAAATAGATGAGCACATGTAGATACTCCAGACCAGAACACTGTATAGTGTGGCACAGCTATATCCAATTCTGCATACCTGGCTTTATATTATAAGAACTTTATAATATAAAGCCAGGTATGCAGAATTGGATAAAGCTGTGCCACACTATACATTAATACAGTGTTCTGGAGTCTGGGCATGTGCTCATCTATTTTCCCCACTAGGGGGATACAAGCCTTAGTTAGCAATGGCATGATCTAAATATTAATTTCATTTCATTATTCAATGTCTTTTTTTTATATTATAAAATTTATAATGTAAAAAAAAAGACATTGAATAATGAA